AGTAACATAACTGAAGGAAAAGAAAACCAACTGTCCTGTGCCAAAATACATTTTTCCCAAATAGTTCAAATGTGAACAGCAGAATTGTCCAGAGATTTGATACAAAATCTGAGGCAGCCACATTGCCAAGCAACTCAGTGCACTTAGATTATAAAAATGCTGTTCCACAATTTTCTATTCTAATTGACACTTCACAGCAAGTTAACACTGTCAATCATTCTGTGCATTAGAAAGAACTGAAACCCAACATGGGCCAAATATTCTTCAGTCACACAAAGCAGCTTAACAATAAAAAGAACCATTTAAAAAAGAATAGGCAGAAGATATGATGCTCAGTTTCTGGTCAAACATCAGTTCATGGCAGTCTCTGACACAAAAAGTTGAGGGTTCTAGAATCCAGGAGTGAGGATTAATCTTCTGTCCATCCAAGTTGTCTGCTTTCACTCAGTGCATGAGACTATATCTAGTCCTAAGGACAACATTCACCTTCTGCTTTTAAAAGCTGTGTCAGAATCACTTTCAAGTTACATAGGAAAGTGCTAAAATATTTGTGGCTGGCTCATGTCAGAAAAACCATTCTCCTCTTCCTCCTTAGAGAACAATAGCCTGTTTCTTCAGTTTGGCACTTGAAGTCACACCCGGTAGGAGAGCAAATTATTCGAATGACATTAGATTAGCAGGTACCTGGAAGAGAATGTAAATTATTCAGCAGTATAATGCTCCTGAGCCTATTACAGCATTGGGAAAATGCAAGGTTACAAAATAGAGTGGGCTAATTATTTATTATCCAATGTGAAAAGTGTAATTAGTCCCAAACAGGCCCAAAAGAGGGCTAACCCCATAACTGAGAGGAAAGATAAAGACTCAAATAATTTTTCTATTCATGGACCAAATCCAGCCAAAGTATTCTAAGAAGTCATCAGTATGCATGGTGGGGGAATGTGTGTGTGTAAAGAAGACTCTCAAGCTGCATGTTGTTTTAGGTCCTGTATGGATCAGCATCTTATTAATATAACCTTTGGAAATCCTTTTAAGCATGAACATTTTCCTCAAGAGAAGAATGAGGCTGCTACATAAAGGACAAACAGCAAAAATTCTATAGGACACTCTCTTCAGTGGCACATATAGACCCAGTCATTGGAGTAAATGCTAGCATGGTTGCTTTCTTTGTCCATGAGAAAGGCCCTTTTGAAGTAGAGATGGGGTTACTTCACTTGAAGCAGTGACTGTAGAGGTTAAGGTAACCAAACCTATAGCTATAGCTGCACAAATCCTGATTTGGTGGGAATTCTGTAGTTTTAAATAATTTTTATTCCTCCTATTGCAAATTGGATCAATGTACAAAATGCGGAATTATGTCTGTCCACACACAACTGCATGTGCACGCAGATTGAAAAGAGTTATCTAGTAAGGATTTTCTGGAGAATACAAGAAAGTGGGTTCACAACCTTACCTGAGGCTTGTTGCTCTTGCATGCATCATCCAAATGCTTATGCCATAATATTGCATGAAACCTTGAACCAGTCTGGAACTTGTAAACATTGCCTACAAAAATAAGAAAATCAAAGGCTCTAAATTGGCAGACATACATGTAGTTTCAAGGGATTCTAATTTCTGCACAGAAGCCAAAGTCCTGCGATAAACTGTTAAATTAATTTGTACCTCAAATACCTGAACAGGATGTTGCTTACCTAATAGAGACCAAGTGAGACATGTTATCCAACAATCCTTGGGTGAAGGGAGTATGAGAACATATGTGGCCTGCAAAGCTAAGAAGTGTATAGGCAGAGAGGCCAAATTACAGCCACAGAAAAGACCACTTACATCACATCTAATTTACTCCTGGCTGTCATCGTCTCAGGACTGTTGTAGTTACTGCCAAACTTCTTATGAATGTTTTTGTTATTTGTGAACTTTGTTTTCTTCTATGTCCTACTCTGAGTTTCCTCTATACCTCATTATTTCATAAATTGTTTCTTGCAATCAAATACTTCGTGCATTTTAGTCAACACCCAAGAGATGCTCTTTGCACAGGAGATACAAATCCATGTCCAGCACCAAGGTTGAAAACATGGGAAATGAAGGAAGCCTCAAAAATCTTTATGTAACCACTCAACGTGCAAAATAACTCCAGGAGCTTTCTGATCTTTTGAGGTTTTTGAAGTTTAACCAAGGCGGAAGAGTTATGGCACTTCAAAATTATTTAAAAGTAATTAATAATTACTTCAAAGGCTTTTTTTGGTAAATAGTTTGACGCTTGAAGAATTTTCAATAGTATTTTAATTGGCCTCAGTGTAAGTCAAGATTTGATATTGACTAATTTTAAGAAAGCTATTCAGAAGTTTGGACATCAGGGTATGCGGGCACATTGACATACAGCAATCTCATACTGGCTAGGCAATTTCTGCAAAACTTACAGTAACTGTCAAGATACAGAGATATCTCTGTAGGCACCACAGGAGCACCACAGCATATTGTAGAAATATGTTCAATTTCATTTGTACCCTCCTGTGAAAATTCTATATTGAAAATCTCCCTCTTCAGTCTTTTAAATGAGTGACACTAAGTTCTGTAATCTACAAACTCATTAACAGAGATTAATCTACTTCCTGCCACAGAAATATAATGCAGATAATGTCCATCCTGCAACATCTACCTTTGTCAGGGTTATTTAGCTGGAAAATATCAGGATGTTCAGGGTCATCAGGCAGTGCCACCATCCAGCCCACAATGGAGACTTTTTTACCAGGTGTAGATTTATACTGGAAGAGACAGACAAGTCAGTCACAGCTGAGACTGTAGTAGGGATTAACTTTTGACTGTAGAAGTTGTGCAGACATATGGCTTAACCTGGAACCGCAAGTACACTTCAAACACCCTTCCAGATCTGCTTATGAATACACAAGTTTCTTTTTTTAGAACAAATTTAAAGCTTACATGTTTTCTTTCAGTGCCTCTTAAAGATTTTGCTCCAAAGTACAGAAGAGTTGATCCTGAAAGCATAACCCAGTATCTAGTCCATGAGGAGAGCTGAATCAGAAAGGAAAAAAATTAGGAAAAACTCCGCGTACCTCCAACATTTCAAGAATCTATTCACAAGCAAGTCCAAGTGGTAGTGAAGTAAATTCAGAAGCAAGGAATGGAGAGTTAGGAAAAGAGTATCTCCTGGTGTAAATCAGCCCAGCTACCTAAATTTGGATGGCTAGCTGTGAATACAATCCATCTTACTTGGGTATCTCATAAAAGTATCAGGACTGATTGCTTCACAACAAAATAGTGTGCTGCTTCTACCGGACAGATCTTAGACTTCTGCATTTGATCAATAAAATTTATTGAGATGACATCTCTTCAATTTTCAAATCTTTTAGCACTGAACAGTAGGGCTGCACACAAAAATTATCAATGAACTCTACAGAAAACAAAAAATTACCAAATGCATAGGACCAGAACCATGTGAAACCTGTGAATTTAGGTTAAGTATGAATTACCATGACTTTGGTGCTACAGATGGATGGCTTGCAGCCTTCCCCTTTCACCATGATACTAAATTTCTGCCCTCATGCTGATTTATAGAGCTGCTTTACTCTTGCTCTGCTCTCACAACCTAGAGACGTTACTTTCAAATGCAGCAAGAACCAAAACTGCTGTAGATCAAATGACATACAAAGGTTACTACCTTGTTATATAACCCAGTTAAAACTTTGAACAGAAAATGATTTCACAATTGATAACAACAAGGAACATTGTTTTGTGTGGTATCAAGCTGCAGGTTTAATCTAATCCTGGAAATTAAAACATCCACTACTAAATTAGAATCACAGAAAGAATTAGAATCACTTACAGTAGGTTTCTTGCCTTCTTTGAGCAATGTTTTTCTCCTTAATGGCCCTTCCATGGTAACGACTCCTGTGGAACTACCTAAGGTGCAGCTGCAGGACCCTGTTGGGCTGGAGAGACAAAACATTGCCATATATATTTGAGCAGACAAATAAGGACAAGAAGCAAGCAATGTAATTTAGCTCTAAATATATTTTTCCTGCATTGCCATCTGACACTTGACTCCCTAATATGTATTCTCCAGACCTAGGTAACAAACAGGAACCAGGATCTTTGAAAAATAGCAATCAACAAAGGGTTCTATTCTGGCAGCTTAGACATGAAAAAATAAAACAGAATAAATACTGAGGCTCAAAGTCAAAGGGAAAACAGGCAATTTTCTATTTTATTTCGGTACATTACAGAAATTATCGGGATTTCTGGAAACTTATGGCTTAAAAATTTGGCAATAAGAGCTCATGTACTTTATCTTACACAAATGTAATTTTATCTTAAAATATAAACTTTAGCTGTCAAAAAAGAATGTAGGAAATTACCTTGGCTAATTGGAAAAAAAGTTTGGGAAACTATATAACAATGCCAAATAATTTATTGTACAGTGCTTAAAATTTTTTTTCCTTTCCCAGGATGAACACAGAGATTCCCACAAACAACAGTGAAAAAGTGCTACAACTGAAAGAACCCAAGTACAGACTAAGTTAGAAATGTAAACAGCCATTAAGCACCTAACAACCAAAGATTGCTTGGTATGTGATGATCTGTTAGAATTATCTGCTGCTAACCTCTCCTCATTACCATGTGATCACAGCTCTAATACTCTTATAAAGGCCAATCAAGTTTACCAGAGCCAACTAAATCACGTCTAATAATGAATATAAGGAAACGGACACGTGGATGATCTACCATTCAGTTGTGAAAGGAACACTATTCTGTCTATGAACAAGTATGATGGTGTCATATAAACACACGCTGGTGAAAGCAATATACACAGCACTACCACCTATGCAAGAACAGCACTTCAAACTGGCAGGTGCATCTCCTTCGATTAAATGGAATGCCTTGTCTGTACTAATGTGTATTCTTGCCAATTCTAGTTTTCTGACAGAAGCAGTAGAAGATTCCAGAAAAGGAAGAATGAACGCAAGCATTAGAATTACTTGATGGTGGATAAACGTAAGAAATGTTTTTTAGGGAATAATTCTTTGTGGCTTTAATAGGCTTTTCACATTTTTATCTTCTTATATTTATATTTCTAGCTTGTATATATTTTTGAAACCAATCTACCATGGACATGTTAAGAGAGTATTTTCCAGAAGCAGGTACAGTAGCTGAAATTCTGTTCCAAAATTTATTCCTTTTAACGTATGCATTTTTATTCCTGTCTAACAACTTCTAACTTGTGCTGCTAGTTACTAGTTACAGATGTTACTAGCTCAAGTAAAACGTCTGTACCTATATTTACACATATCAACATTTCTACAATGGCTGAAGCAAACTAATTTATACAAAATAAAAACTTAGTGGATTTAAACTCCAACTACATCTCGGTATTTGCAGAATACTGTTTCAAGGCTCTATTTTCTTTACTGTTCATATATATTTCTTCAATTCCCACTACCACAGAATTTATCAAGTCCAGGTCAGGTAAGGATGCAATGAATGAACTATACACAATTTTCCACATCACATCTCTTCAGCCTGTAAATGGGTTACCTGTCTCTAAAAAGTCCATGTCCTAGTGACTAGCAACATTGGGAGTGCTCGCTACATATGGCATTGCAGAAGTTCCCTCTCTTACTTGGGGTCCAAGGTAACACCTCTTTACTGTACAAAATCAAGACATCACACTATAGATCTCTGACACAAACAGATGTTATGAGTAGCTGTTCTGCAAATCAGGAAATAAATTATTAGAAAGGGTCAAGAAGGTATTCTTCTAATATCATTATTTGTCACAGAAGGCAAAGATGGCCTTCATGACAAACTTGCTTCTGTAATGTCATAAAGCCCAAAGTAAGCACTAGCTTTCAGCAATATGGAAGCCAGACAGAATTATTTAAATCAATAACTAAATTGAATTTAATCTGAATGGGCCATACCCCTGCTTTAGCATTAATAACAATTTTTACAAGCAGAAGGGGAAGACTTCCATGAGTTGCTATGGTCATACAAGGATACTTTTGGACACAAAATACATTATGCTAGGAAAGCGTAGAGACCCAAATGGAAGTTTAGCACCATACACTGAGCAAGGTAGACCCTGAACTGTACCTGTAGACACAGCTTCGACTCCTAGGAGAATTCCGGATTGGTACCCTCCAGTTAGGCCCCAGCGTGGCATATAAACGACCCCTGTTTGTGAATGCAAATATCTGATGAGGGAAATTCTAATCTGAGACTTCAACAGTTAGGGTTTGGTAAACATGACAGAGAGAGTTCCCAATCTTTTCAGGTCCATGGGAAGAAAAACACAATAACTTCACAGTGCTTTATTTCAAAAAGTTTGCCATTTCCTAACTAATCAATAATTTGATAAAAAATAACTACTGATTTGGGGCTTATCTATGTTAGGGATCATTTGTGAATTTCTTAGCTAAGTCTGTAGAATGCTCAGTGAGTGTACAGGAAGTCTAACTCACCTTTCAAGCCCTGACGGCAGCTCCTCACTAAATTCTGAGCTTTCACTGCTATCTAGAAAAAGAGTAGTACAGAGAAGGAGTAAGAAAACCACCCAAGGGAAAATAAAAAGCCAATGTATGTGGATCACCAGAATAACCTTTATAAAGTACCATGAAAATTGCTTACTCAAATCATGTTTCAAAGTTGAAGTCTTTAGAGTTCATGGTAAAAGTCTAAAATTGGAAAAGGCTTACATGAGCCTTCCCATTTATAGTATCTCACTGATGAACGAAGTCATTGTTACTACTATGTTTAAATACCAGACATCTACATGTTGCTACAATTTCCATTATGCTGCCTTTCCTTCAAAAGCTAAGCACTTCAGGAACACAAAGTCCAGTTACTTTGTAAGACAATATTTCTACCACAACATCTGTAAGTCAATTAAAGTTATTAGACATGATATCATTGTTTGTTTTCAACAAGCAAGCACACCTGTAACAGAGGCTATGCCAGCTGTAGGCTGCTGCTAGGAGCCATAATAAATCAGTATGATGGTATTCACAATGATAGTCCCTATTTCTCCTCCACGCCCATGACCGATTTGTCCCTCCTTCCCTGGCACAGCTATTTAGCTCACAGTTTTAAACTGCCCAGGACTGATCTTCTAATGCTCAGTATAACACAGTGACAAAAGTTCAAAGATCTATCAAACTCTTCTTGGTCAAGTAACCTGCTATCCTTCACAGAAATAGCCCGAATCATTTAAAAAGTGGCTTTCTCTTGCTTAGAACACAGATTCTCAATCACTTTGTTTTTATTACAATAATTATTTTATTAATTATAATACCATAATGTAACTATCATCCTCTTTCACAAGTTCATTTTATGCTTCATTTGAAGTCTCAGAGAGCACAGCTAAACTATTCTCCCATCTTCTAAAACATATCGTTAAAATTATTTGTGAAAAGGTAGCTTTCAAAATACATACCCACTTTTCAGCAGCACTTTTTTTTTTTTCTCCTGATGAAAGCTGACACTCTGTCACATACAGAGCATACACAAAGGCAATCTTCCTTCCTGCCACTTTTACCAAAACCATCAGTAGGTAACTGAGGAAAGCTGAGACAAAGTCGCCTAGGTAGCTGAGCAGCAGTTCTGATCTACTTTCTTCCACGAAAGGGACCAGTCTTTGCACAGGAGCTAATGATCTTCCTAATTCCCTACTGTGAATTTCCAGAGCACTGGGACAGAAAA